ATCATCCTGATCAGCCTGTTGGGGCGTCTGGAATCCGCCCTTGAAGGGGGGTTTTGTCATGATCTTGGCGCTGATGGTTTGATTTTTTTCCTTAGCTCCTTGCTCCCTGTCTAATTGGTTCTGCGGCTGATTATCGCCGATCATTTCCACCTGGTTCCTCTACTATTTATGTTGTGTGTTTGCCTCCCAACAGCGCCAGGTTATTTGTGTGTTTTTCTGAGACATTCCCTAGCAATCTTTAGTCTGTCTGTTTCCCTGATTGTGACCAGTTTCTGCCCTGAGGATCTCGAGTTTTGCCTTGCCCCTGTCTGCTCTGTTTGTCATTTCTGGCCCTGGATTCTACCGGCTTCTGAACCTGGAACTGTCTCCTGACTGCGGCCTTGGATTTCCCTTCTGGACTCTGTTGCTGCTCGGCGTCGGCTGGCGCCTCCTCCGCTCACTCTCTAGGAATTCTGGGGGCGTCGCCCGCCGCTTCTGCGGACAAACCTCCGCGAACGGACTGAACTTTGAATCAGGTCAGTGACTTTGCTCCAAGTCGTATTCAGCTCCAAATCCTGTCACTGACCTGTATTCTCCCGTCCCTGCAGAGATCTGCCCCGCAGCAGACGAGCAGCCCCGCGCACCTGTTTGTTTAATAAACGCTTTGAACTTTCCCACTGCCTGTCTCGCCTCGAATTCTGGGTCCAATATTCTGAGATCATTACACATTGAGGATGAAGACTTTGTGGATGTGATGAAACAAGCAGACAAAAGGTTAATTGTGTGCAGTGTGATATATGTTAAAAAGAGAATCAGTGTGTGGAGAAGTTCTATTCTGCATAGTGTTATATAAATGAAATAGAGAAAAAAGAGAAGCGGTGTGTGGAAAATTTTTATTCTGTACAGTATGATAAATATGTTAAAAAGAGAATCTGTGTGTGAAGAAGTTGTATTGTTTACAGTGTTGGCTATAATGACTAATTTCAGTGGGAATGAGGTTTAAGATAGCTTACAACATACACTCTTTTTAAAAAGCATCTAAAAAACTGGCTCATAACACATCAGTCATGTCAGTACTTGTGTCTCTGCTGTGTATATAGTGTAATTATTTTTTATTTGAATGCTTTATTCTATTTTATAACCCAAAATCTGTAGTCTAGTGAACAATAATTCTGTATTTTTAAACAAGTTTTAAAAAGTTATAGCTGTTTTATTTCTTTTTATACTTGTGTTTTTCACTGCAAAATTCTTACTGTTGTCTTTTTAGGGAGACAATTTTAAGATCGGTTCAGGGACAACAGATGTAAAAATAGACTTTTGGCTAATTCTAGTGCATTTGCAGGAATGCTTATTAATGTACACTGGCCCTGTCAGATAATTAAATAAATCTAAATCTTAGTGAGATAAACATGAAATTGATCATTCTAAATAATGTTATGAATCAGAACAAACAAAAATGAAAACCCAACATGTAAATAACCATCGCAAATGTTCATTTTTAGGTCATAGCCTGTTGGATTCAGTGAGTCAATTTGACTGAGCAATTTTCAGTGGAAAGAGAATTTAAAGTTTCAGTATAAGACTTTTCCAGGGACAATGATTAAGCTCTGCTTGTGGCTGTTAGGCTGTTAGCTGTGAAAGTTTTTTTTTATAAAAAAAAAAAGAGAAAAAAAAGCATACATACTTGGAGAATTCTGGTCACTTTGGTTTCCGGATGATGCGCTGGGGGCTTTTATCATTTTGTCGGCAGCATCAGTCTCTTCACCAGCGTGTTCAACTGCTTGGAAAGAAGGAATGTGGGCCTTCTCCTGTGGCCCAAGATAATGCTGATTGTCCTGTGGGATGAAGGCCCTTGCTAGTTGTGTAAAGGGTGCCATTGTCTCTGAAGTTTTGTTTGATTCTGAAGAAAATGTAGATGTTGATATGCTTGGTTGTTTTGCTTGCCCATGACACGTTTCTCCATCTATTACCTCTAAAGTGAGAGGAGGAGTGATGTCTTCAAAGGGATTCAATTTTGATGGCATTATTGTTTGTGAAGATCCCGTCCGTGGTCTCATTCCTGCTGACGGTTTTCTTTCCAGCTCTGCAGTGGTTTGGGGCTTCACGTTAAGGTCTATAGGAAATGTTCTGAAGGGATTTGATTCTGGGTTGGGTTCTTTGGGAGTTTCTTTTGGAAGAACCCTTGGATGCAAGGTCTTCAATGGACTCCTTTTGACTTCGTCGCTCTTCTGGATTGATCCTAGAGAGATAAATTTACCTTCAATTGGTTCTTTTCTTGTTGACTTCATTGAAGCCTACATATTGCTTTTCTAAATAAGGGACTGTGTATCTACACTACTGTCAGAGCTCCTTAACTGTGACTAGTATAAACAGACAATCTTTCGGATTCTTTTGGGTACTGAAATGGGTTAAGTCTCCAATAGTTTTGAATGTCCTCTCTGTATGTGGAAGTATGGTAGAAAAAAATACTTTCTGCTGTTTTGAGTGTTAAGTTTAAAACACTACAGAGAGTGTGGGTGAAATTATTTTACATGATAAAGAAAGCTTTACCTCTTCTGTCATTCCAAAGAAAGTTTAAAAATAATCCACTGGACTGTTTCCAAGTTTGAAGACATGTCGCTTCCCATACAGGATGTTTTTTTCAATTGAAAATGTCAGAAAAATTAATTACCTTTAACTTTTTGGAATGAGTATGAACTAAATGACTGAGGATCTTTGTCGGGTTTATTCAATGATGATTATAAAGTTAATGTATGTGCATATGGAACTTTGAAGAAATGAGATGCTTAACTCTGTTTACTGCAAACTGTCATGCAATGGTTGTAGAAAATTGCTGATGTTTGTGCATGGATAATCACAGTTATCGGGAGACCACTCTATTCTGTGATTCAATCAGAAGGAGCATTTTGTCCCATGACCTGATCAATTGCCTTGTCAGAAGAACACTCCATTCTGTAACCCACCCCATGTGTTATGATCTGCTAATAAAAAGGCTTCTGCTGAGGAAACCCACCAGAGAGCAGATGTAGCTGAACGTGGCTCTCTCCTTCTGCAGAAGCCTATTCTGTGCGGACTCAGTTTCTCTTTTACGAACCTACATTTTTGAACGTAACAATCTTCACCAGCACACTTCTGTCATTATCAATAAAAACATGACATCCCTAAGGTTCACATACTGAAGGCCTTGATGCTCAATTCCGAATTTTAAGTGAAATTCAATTCTTTTTAGTGGTCATTCGCATTTCCATATATATGCAACCTGTATATGATCTCCTGTGTGAACTGCATTCACACAACATGAGTGTCCCACATGTAGAGGATGTAATGATGTCACAAGCAAGCGTGGTCTGTGGTTACGGAAGTAACCATGGACAGTATTGCTGGAGCTAATCTAGCGATCTTTAATTTCTTTCGCAACCTCAGCCAGAGCATCAATGACACAATCATTTAAAGAAGGTTGAAAATAATATTGTAGTTGGTTGTTGTTTTTCTCCCTGCTCTTGCGTAGCAAGACGCAGAATAGGGACCTTTGTTGAATCTTAACTGAGATCAGATCGGATGAATGCGACCCGGCTGTTCAGACTTCGGGCGCATTTGAAAACATCAGATTCGTATCGGATTCAGAACCACAGGGCCAAGTGGCCTGTGTCACAGTGGAAAATTTTTTTTAAATTTGTTCAGACTCTGATAAAATTATCAGATACAGGTCGCATATTGGCAGAAATTCGGATATGGGTCAGAAGGATTTTCTTTTCTGTAATTTTTTTTTTTCTTTGCGTAGTATGATCTAACTTGGGGAATTTTGTTCTCTTCATATCTTTTTAGCCTTGTGTGTATTTCTATGCTTTCAGTTGCTATTTACCTAGCCAAAGAAGAGGTATTTGGAAAATGTCTATTTACCTAAGTGAATGTACTCACTGAGGGACACTCAAGGACATTTCAAATCTACTTCATTTCAATTCTATTCTGTTTCAATTCAAATTATTTTGTTTTGCTGATCTAAGGTATGTCCACAATTCTATTAGAAGATGAAAGATATGACAGCTTTTTTGAGATGTCATTCAACATTAGTTTGGTTAGTGAATAGATCTTAAGAGAGAAAATGTTGTGTCTTGGGGGCCGTAGACAATATTTCTAAGACTTATATTCACTGAACTCACCTCGCTTATGTGCAGCCAAAACTAATCCCGACTCTGCTGTAATCACTGGTTCTGGATAATACTGCTCTGAAACAGCTGGGAAAAGAAAAGCAACACACTGAAGATCTTAGTTTTAAACAATGGCTAATATTTCAACTTGTTTATGATTTCTTGAAGAGTGAGACAATTTTCTGTTTTGCTGTTATGGACTGTCAAACTATATTGTACCCTATCAATCCCCTCAATGCGCCTCAAGATTGCCAATGAAAAGGAGAGTACAGTCGACTTTTGTTTGGCTGTTCTCACAGGGGTACAGTATGGTTGAGTTGTGTAATTGAACCCATTTACAGCAAAACACAACTTAATTTAAGAAAAATTAAAGAAAAATACAAGAAAAAGCTAAAGGAAGTTTGGTATGGTACTAATTCCATTTCAAATAAATTGTGTGATATTTTTTAATTCCCTAGAATCAAGTAATAATACTTTTAATATAATATAAGCCTTAGATAAAGCAAAAGCCAAATATTGCCTTTGACGTATTGTTAACCCTTAATGAATTCTACATTTTTTTTATTCACACATAAATTGTTGATCATAACTAGAAAAATACCTAGAAAAATGAAGTGTTTTTCAAATGATAAGTTCATTTATCTGAAAATACTATTGAAACCAACCTGCTGCCATGAGAAAAAGCAATAACCTCACCGAAATGGGTTGCAGATTACCAAAATCAAATAAATTTGAAAAGAATTCTTCAGGAGTATGTCACAATAATCTAATTAAAATAAATCCTAGTTGGGAACATGTTAAGACTATTTTATGTGGTTTATTTATCATAGGATCTCTTTCTTCAAAAGGTCTGTTTGTTAATGACTTGATTTGTGATAATCAAATTGATTTATGCTGGCTTACAGAGACTTGGCTCCAGCAAGTGGATTATGAGAGCATAAATTAGGAAACTCCCTCCAGTTATTAGATTTTTCACATACCCCGAAATTGTGTACGAGGTGGAGGAGGGGAAATTATGGTGACCAAATGTCCTCTTTTGCCCAGACATGTCCACTTATTACATTCTGTCTGGGTCTTCCAGAGGGGGATTATGAATTCATAAAATTGTCTGATTTTCACTGTTTTTAATGGGACCATATTTGTATGATAAAATTGCCTTCTGCTTTGCACAGAATACTACAATACTTTGTTGCCTGACTAAATCCTCAAAGGACTCCCTTGTGGGAGGGTCTACCAAGACACCCACACACAGACAGGGAGCAGAGCAACCAGCATGGGACACAAAATGCTGAAATGAAAGTGCAGCTTGACAGAAGAACTGCAAAAAAAATGTTGCACATACTGTCCCGGTCACGACAAAAGAGATGCTGCAGATCTCAAAGCTCACATGGACAATGAAAATCATAAAAAAGCCGTGGGAGGAGAGCCCTCTTTTGCAAAATTGACTTAGATCTGGGAAAACAGAGGATGCTGCAAATACAGCTGAAGGTGCAATAGCATTTCATACTGTGAAACACCACAACAGCTACAGGCCCATGGATTGCAGGAGCACCTTGCTAAAAAAAAGAATCAGACTGCTTAAATAAACAAAACAGTAGTGCTTGCACCAACACCGAGAGCATTGTCCGTGGTATTGTAGAGCCCCATTCTGTTAAAGTAACTCATGAAGCACTCAAATAAATCAAGTATTGTGAGGTTTCAACAGATGGGATTAACCTCGGAGCAGTAAAACTATACCCTATCATAATCCAGTATTTTCACTAAAGCATGTTCATTTCCTCTGAGCAGCCTGTCAAATCTGTATCTAGCCTGGGCAAAATGTCCTCCTTTTTATAATCAAAACATGTTCACCCTAGTAGCAACACTCTTTCAATCTGACTTACTGATTACTCCAAAGGCTGTTAATAGTTCCAACTCATTTAAACATTTAACTCTTAGTTACCCTCACCAAATTTGCAAAGCAACAAAACCTGTTCTTTTTTTTTTGTTGTTGTATCATCCACCAGTTCCTTACTCTGAAATTTTAGATGAGTTTTCAGCGTTCCTATCTGATTCGGTGTTAAATACTGACGGGGTCACCCTAGTGTTCAAAATGTGAATAGTCCCACACATTCTCATCTTCATACTTTGGACCTTGTGCTGACACATGACATTGAATGTGAAGAAATAACAGTATTTCCTCAGGACCCTGTCCTCTCTGACCACTTCTTAATAACCTTTAGGATTACTGTAATAGAGTTCTCCTCCCCCAAAAGAAGATTTCACTTGAGTAGATCATTATCAGATCATGCAGTTATACATTTTAAACAATCTGTTCCACTTTCCATCTCCTCTATATCACTGAATAATATTGCGGAGGGCAAACATTAAATTATTCCCCTTCATAAATTGATGATTACATTGGGTTGCTAGTTCTCTGTGTACCACTTTAGACAATGACTTTAGACCTCTTTGAAAAAGGGGCACTTTAAAAATAGAAAGCTGGCTCCATGATTTAATGGAGAGCTGCACACTTTGTAGCAAAATGCTAGGAAACTGGAGAGAAAATGGTGCTCTAAATGCCTACGGTAATCCTACCTTGCCTGGAAAAACAGTTTACTGCTGTATAACAGGACCCTACATAAAACAAAAGCAGCATATTTCTCCTCATTGATAAAGGGGGATAGGAATAAACCTAGATTTCTTTTTAAACCACTTGCCAAACTCACCCAGAGCCATAGCTCTGTTAAAACGTCCATCCCACCTGCTCTAAGCATTGATGATTTTATGGGATTCTATTAAAAGTACGATCATTAGCACCCCTCTAACTTCAATTGGTTTATCTCTGGAGGATGAGGTAGCATCTGAGGTAAGCATAAAATTTGAACTGGGTTTAGACTGTTCCAGCTGAACTCTCAGAGTTAGCAAAACTATTGTCTTCATCTAAGCCATGAACATGTATGTTAGATCCAGTGCCAACCAGGTCATTTAGGGAGGATTCCCTCTGATCTCCTCCTCCATTTTACTGTAGATGTGATTAACCAATCCCTGTTACAGGGATATGTACCAAAGGCTTTTAAGGTAGCAGTAATTAAACCTGTACTCAAAAATGTACCTCTTGAGCCGGATGACTTGGTCAATTATAGACCTACATTCAATCTTCCTCTCTTATCTTAATTTTTCAACTTTATTCTCGTAAGGTAATGATTTTATTCTTGTAATATTAAGACTTTATTCTCATAATATTACGACTTTATAGTGTTACAACATTATTCTTATAATGTTTTATTCTCATTTATTTTATTCTCGCATATAAAAACAAAAACAATTCTGTAGCCTGGCCAAAATACTCCGTCATACTTTTCTGACTATGATTATATATAGTATTTAAAGGCTGATAACTTTCCAGATTTGAGTTTTAGGAGTTTGTTTTCCAATCTTGTCTTGATTGGTTGTGTCTGATTTGAAGAAGGGGAAACGTGTTTCTTCTGCTTGTCCACAGAAGTAACACAGTGTTCATCTATGTTTTTTTATTATTCCCCTTTACAAGGTGTAACACCAGCAGGTCCGACTATTCCTCTGGAGAAGAGGATGTCTACCAAAAGGAGCAGGTGTTCCTTGCTATGCTCATCAATGTTCTACTTACATACGTCAAAATCTCATAAAATGTGTTTAGGTTATGGATTGGAATGATGAATTTTTTTTCTTTTCTAGATTTCAGATAGGCCTATTTAGAAAATGGATGTGTGTAAGTTATTTGTTTTTATATATTTTAAAGAGATTAATTATCCATCTTAAATGCATGCCTTGTTTTATTTTTTTTTAATAAAAAAATAAATCTAAAGGTTCATTGTTAAATTTTAATCTGTCTTTTTTATACTCACTCTTTTCCTGATCTGTGAAATGATCAGAAAATATAAAGCATGACGAACAGCTACAATGCAATACATTGTAAGGAGGAATACTCCCTAATGATAATACATATTTAAAATTACACATGTTTAAAAAGTGAGTTAATGTAAATTTGGAAGTATGATCACAAATTTTAAAGAAAATGATCACACCTTGTAATTTGCTTAGTTGTGCATCATGCTAAGTTTCATCATATGCATTGGCTCTTTCCTTCATGTATTATTTCCCCCACTTGTGTCCCTGAGTCATGTGGCAGAGATTAAGGTTTGGAATGTGTTTTTGTAATGCTCCGGTTAATCTTATGATCTTGGATACTTACATTCTGTACTTGAGAAAAAAAGAAACTGTGATCTACCCTAATTTTATATATATATATATATATATATATATATATATATATATATATATATATATATATATATATATATATATATATATATAAAATTAGGGGGGAGGGTATTTTTTTATTACACTTTTTTACACTTTTACACAGATTTGACTCCAAAAAATATTGGTTAAAATGTCCTACTGAAAGTTAAACATGAAGAAATACAATCTTCATAGATCTTTGTTAAACAAGAATTTGGATTTTTTTATAAAATGTAATGTTCACTACTGTATAACAGTACAATAGTGAACATACTGAACTCACCACAGCTTCAAAAAGATTTAAGGCGTTCATCATTTTCACTGGCATGAAAAATCATGCAAAGTTCATAGCTCAAATACAAAAAACATAAAAAATTCACACTCAAGGTATATATACATAAAAGGCTTTTTTATGGGGCGCCGTTTGTAAAGTTAAGTAGTCAAAAATTAGGAGCAATATTTATGGTTATATAGTGTCTTAAGAATAAGGGGGGTTATTTTTTCTAAATATTTTTTTCACTATGTCATTCATTCATTTAGTTTGGAGCTAAATATTTAGTTTGGAAAAATTAAATCTTTTGTTTTTTTAAATAAATATTTAGCTCCAAACTAAACATTTAGTTTGTTAAATAAAAATGTTTTGCTAAATCATTTGTGATTTAGGAGAAAATCCAAGATTGAACTTTTTCCTTCTCTTTCTAATCTTCTCTCAGGCGAGAGCAAATTTATGAGTGCTCCAGACTTCACCCCATAGAGCAAAAATTGGCAGAAAAAACATTGAAAAGACATGATTTACATCCAAACAACGTTTACATTTAAGTGAAAGG